GTGATACTCTGTATAAAATAATGGTCATTCACCCTCCACTGTAGTTATTTAAATCTCGTAAATCCCGTAAAGTAAATGAATGCTTTATATGCCTTATCTTCTCCCAGTTTTTTATCTCTCTTTGTCTTTAAGGGACTGCCATTAGAATAAAGCAAAGATGGTCATCATACTCATTTAATTCTATTTTCTTTTTTCCGCCTCCACATGCCCCTCTGTTCAACTGGTTTGCTGGTAACTGGTAACTAAAACAAGAACTTAGCACTCTTGGCACAATCAATACAAAATCCTAGCATGAAAAAGCTACACACAATCTTGAGTTTGAAGACAACACCAAAATACTAATTCAAAGGATAAGCTCTACATGTAAGAAACGGTTTTCTAACTCCAAACAGATAACAGGTTTTTGGAAGTATCAGCAAAGTTCTTCAAAAACCTAAAGTTATGAATACCCCAATCTCTATAAAGATAAGATCCATGAAAAGTTCCTGAAAATGCCTCACCATTTACATTTGGTACTATATTAGACTGCCCAGAATCAGTCCATCACAGACTATTGGGCCAAATCCAGTGGCATAAAATACTTCAATATTTAGGTACATCAGGAAACAGGCCCTAGAATGAAGACCATGCCGTCACCACTTTGGGGCCAAACATATTCCAAGTGACCACAATGCCAAAAGTAGAAATGTAACTGACATCAGTTTCATATTTGCCCACCAAACTGTATCCTATCAATGAATCAACCTACTTTAAGAGTCTGTTTACTGCAGTAGCTAACCTCATCCTTGGAGACTTCACCTATTTTCTTTCTTCTTCTGGCTAGCATTATGTAGCACTGTTTGGAATGGAGAACAACTAAAAGCTTGGAGGCCAAGAATGAAAGCTAGTGTTATATCAAACAAATGGAAACAACTGAAGAGACCAATCCAGCAAGAAAATGCACAGTAAAAAGACCAAGGGATGGGGTGGGAAGACATTTCTGCCTACAAAATCATGACTTACAGATCTTCTTCTTCCAGGCTTCTACCAGCTCATTAACAAACCTGGTAGGTCAAGTCTAAATCAGGGGAAGAGTCTAAAGAGGGCCAGAACAACATTCCTGTGTCCATAGCCCAAAGAGTGAGTAAACTAGTCCACCGAGTATGTAAAAGAAAATGCTATCTTTGGAGAGGTCACTGTTGCCAGGGGTTTAGCACTCATCACTTCCTAATGCCTACCTATGGCAGTGCATGGCATCCAACTAACTTCAAGGAGATATTAATAAGATTCTGACGCAGGACTAGCCTAACTTTAGCCACAGTGATGTTCCTCAGGTCCTCAACAGAAAATAAAACTAGAGTCAACTAACTATAATCACCATCGCACTGCGTGTTTATGGATAAAACAGTCCCTTGGACATTCATTTCATGATGCAGCAAAGTATTCCAGTGGAAGCTTTAAATACACCCCAGAATTTTTTTGGTTACAAACACCCACCAGCTTCTTCAACCAAAAGCTGAGAAGTGGTCAACCATGGAATCATTAGCCATCATACCTTAGAAACACTTTGATGTTTTCTATGGCTCAAATTTCTTCAGTCCTTACTGAGACACTTACCTGTTCCATCTCATGTCAAAAGACACACTGGTGAAGTTCCAGGCCTTTGTGTGAGCTGAACAAAGATTGTTTTTAGCCATTCCCTGTTGCATGTTCCAGTATAGACTACATTTTCAGCACAGGGAGACACATGCACCATTTCCTCAGTCAACAGGAAACGCTTGCAGAAACCCATGCTGAAAACGTACCCTTCTGGATTTGTGAACTATGTGTATTTCAGTGGGTTGTGTGTGGCTTTGTTGATATTCATCCTGCATTCAAGACTTCTAATCATAAAAGCCTTGAAAGTCCAAGCCACAGCAGCTGTCTGTGTGTGTGTGTGTGTGTGTGTGTGATGAAATATATATAGATATATATATATAAAAAAAGAATAGCTCACTCGATTTTTTCCCGCCAGGAATAGGGGGATTCTCCCAGAGCGACATCCATTGTCGGCAATGGACGCACCAAAATTACGTCGGCATCAATGAGTTAGCCACCTCTGTCCTTTCTTTTTCCACCTATTACATTTCTCATGCATCATCCAGCTTCCCAACCATCTTCCTGTTTTCTTCACAGTACGCACGCTAGGTTCTCTCCTTTCTTCAGGACGGAGTTGAAAATGGAGTTGAGAAAAGGAGACGCATGGTCAGCTGGGGATGATGTTAACAAGCTCCTTGCTGCCCTGAGAAGCTGGATGGAAATGGTTGAAATTACTACAAGGGGGTCAGCATTAAGAGGTCGGGAAGGACACAGCTTTAAGTTACAAGCTCTTCACACCCTCCCGCCCGATGTTTCCAAAGCACTACCCTGGTGACCAGCACTCCACTCATAAAATGCAGTGAAAAAAAATTCCTAAAAACAAGCAACATTAAAGCTTCCCATTTTGGTCACTGAACAGGGTAAGTGGGCTACACTTCTATCCTAGAGACAACATGTCCCAAATATTCTTCGTTTTCAAATGGTAAGAGATATGCCATTTCCCAGTAACTCAAGCTTAAATGTTTTCCAGGGCTTTTAATGCACTTAACACAGATGGACAAGTCCAAAAACGGACACTAGGTATGTCAAGACAGAAGCAGCTAACTCTTAGAGCCATGAAAAGGTGCGGGACAGATTATAATCAGTGTGCCATTAGAGTATCTCCAAATTCATGGATAAAAAAAGGGATTTTGACTGATGTAAGGAAGGAGCCCAGTTTCAGATACATGGATAATACTGCGCTGAGCACTCACACAGTAAAGTCTTGTAAATTGAATATGTATTTTAAGACCATGTATTGGCTTTATGAATATAATATCTAATATACAACTGTAAATAAGAAGGGATTTAAAATCTGGAACAATGACTTTTGATGGATAATGATTCCATAGTTGACCACAGATATGAGCAAACTGCTCTTGAGCCAGAACTATCCCAAGACAAAGCGAGAGAGAGAAAGAGAGAGAGCAGTGAACAGGAAAATGATTGTTTCAGACTTAACCCAACACCAAGATTAAGCTTAATGGTACCTCAAATTGAGACGCAATAGGATTTTCTTTTACAATAAATTTGCTTTTCCCCTTAGGCACCCAGTATGGGGGGCACAGGTATGAGGACAAGAAGGTTAGAAGACTAAAATCATGCAGAAATTAAAACACAAAACCCCAAATCTTAGAAACCTAAGGTCCTGCTTGTACAACATTTTCCTACCTGATGAGAGAAGAGGGTGCCACGAAGGCAAGCATGCATGCACACACACCCCGCACACTCACTAGATAGAAAGCTAAACGTACCAGATTCACCAGCACTTGGTAGGAGGATCCATTAATTTACCAGTATTTTATCAGTCCAGGCAATGATACCAGGTTTGGCCAGCTCCTGCATACAAGAATTAGAGAATATCCCCCTCCAATCTATCTGGGGATAGGCCTGGACAAGGTACATGCAAACCCAAGGCAAACTCTCCTCTCATCCTGGGTAGAAAAGCGTTCTTGCAAGCAAGCCTTAAGCTGGCAAGTCAAGGTGCAGCAGGAACTGCACACACTTCAGGCAGAAAGAGAGCAAGATTCACAGCCTTACTTGTATACAAACACTTAGCAGTATAATGCATTATTTTATAAATTATCTCTTTTTTCAGTCATTCATTACAAAATGTTTTCACCCTGCAAATACAGCTTACTGTATATACTCATGCATATGTCTAGAAATTTCAGTCAAAAAACTGACCCCAAAAAACTGAGTCGACTTATCCATGGGTCAAAGTAAGTACTGTACTTTAAGTCTTATTAAAAAAGGAACCATCCGCTGGTGAAAGGCAAGAGTATAATATGTCTTGGAAACACTGACTCCCTTCTATTCTCATCCATCTAGCCACCTTTAGTGTGAACAGTTATGACTGCTGGAATTTTGTAAATTCTTTGGCATTGTTTTGCTTTGCTTCATCCTTCAAATCCTTTGTTACATTGCCTCTAAGTTTTATCCTCGACTTATCCATGAGTCATATCAAAATCCATAATCCAAAATCCCCAAAGGTGTCCTCAAGGGCCTTTGCAGACTGCTAGAAATAATGCAAATTGAGTCCACTTTAACTGCCCTGGCTCAGTGCTAGGGAATCATGTATTTTTTTCTGAGACATTGAGCCTTCTCTGTCAGAGAGCTCTGGGGCCACAATAAACTACAGTTCCCATGATTCCCTAGCACTGAGTCAGGGCAGTTAAAGTGGGCTCAATTTGCACTATTTCTGGTAGTCTGCAAAGGCCTGTTCTAAGAACCACAGGTATTATCTTTAAAACCTTTTCTCTCTATGAAATCTCCTGATTTATCTGTATAGACATAAACCAAGTTGGGGTCTAAGATGCAACCGTACAGCTTTTCTTCTCACTTTAAAAATTACACTAAACAACATTTTTAGCCATAGGGGAAAGGGGTGATACCTTATTGAGAAGCAGGTCAGTCCTTTATTCTGCCCATATTACTATTTAGACATTTCCTGAGAACAAGGATAGGACATGGCCCATATGAGATTTCCACATCAGATTTCTAAGGCCCTACACTCTTCTCCCAAACATAAAAATCTTTTCTCTCTGATCAGCAGTGGATCAAACCCCAGGCAATGCATATAAGCTTTAGTACCTATGGAAGACAGTCAAGTGTGATGCAGTGGTTTGAGCGCTGGATCATGGCTCTGGATACCAGGGTTGGAATCTCTGCTCAGTCATGAAAACCCACTGGATGATTTTGAGTCTCTCAGCCTCAAAGGAAGGCAAAGGCAAACACTCTCTGAATAAATCTTGCCAAGAACACTCCATAACTTCACCTTTTGTTGTTGTATCAACTAATAGTGACCCTATCACGGGGTATTCTTGGCAAGATTTGTTCAGAGAGGGTCTGCATTTTTCTTCCTCTGAGGCCGAGAGAGTTTGACTTGCCCAGTAGGCTTCCATGGCCAAACGGGGATTTGAACCCTGGTCTCCAGAGTCAAACTCCAGCGCTCAAACCACTACACTATGCTGGCTCTCTTAAGTTCACCTTACAGTCACCATAAGCCAGAAATGACTTGAAGGTACAGAACAACAACCAACACAAGCCTTTCAAATATCTAAATACAGTCAGGAGGAGGGCTGTTTTTTGGAAGGGGGAGGGAAATCTTGGCTGGGTATTGAAGGGCTAACTCTTTGTTCCCTACTACTGCAACCTTCTTCAAAAACTGCCCCTCCCATAATCATGCTTTTAAAAAGCACCCACTGTATCAATGGAGGTTTTTTAGATGCTGAACTTAAGCATGCTAAGGAGTCACTGGTGCCAATGGAAGGTTGCGCTTTTTTTAAATAAAAAAGTCTACCTGCAGCAAGGGAAAGAGCAACAGTGCAGATTTTTGGGAGCGAATGACAAAGAACGAATAGAGTCTCGGCAATGAGGTTTAAGAGGGCATATATGGCAGCAGTGAGGTGGCCCCATGCACTTTGGGATGTGGTCCCTCACAAGCTTGCCTGGAGACAATTTGATCCCTAACCCAAAGTAGTTTCTCACTCCTGAAGACATATATTTAGGAACAGGTCACTGGCATAGGCTGCCTCCCCTGCTCCTGGACTCCACTGTAGTTTTTGTTCCCTTAATCTGAAGTCTCCAGCTGATACCACTGAATCTACTCACCTCTCTCCTTGGAGGGGGAATGAAAGACTAACCAGTGAGGAGGAAAAGAGAAGCAGTCTCTTTTTCCTTATGCAGTAACTAATATAGCAAAGGGAAGAAGTGACTATAGGTTCGAATCTTGTGATAGCCAAGAGAAAGATATAGGCTCACAGTGTACTGTTAATCGTCGTAAGTGCCACTGCCACTCCACTTTCACTCTAAGCTAATAAATAAGGCAGCAAGACATCACACAAAACTTAAGCAGCAAGGCCATTCTCAAGTTAACTACTGTCTCAAGAGCACTCCTTACAGCAGCCTATGTTTTTCAAGACAGGTGGTATCTCAATTTCAGCTTAAATGGAGTAAACGTTCCTATTATGCAGTAGTGTGACTTCATAATTTTATCAGAAAAATCTGTTGACCACTTCATTCATGGATTTCCACTTGCTAACTGGTATGCCAAAAGACCGGAGTGGGCGTATCAGAAAATTTACGGTTGTCAAAATGTTTGGTATTAAACTGATTCAATAAAACTCTTTCCCCTGTCAAGTTGAAGTGTTTCTCTTTTACCCAGTAGCAAAGTGCAGACAGGTTTGTATTGAAAAGGAAAGGGAACACTTTTAGAAATCTTTTGACTACATCCTTTTCTAATGGGAGAATTTTAAATGTGTTTGCAATGGAGGCAACTCACCCCACCTTCCCTAGCAATTCAAATTTGACCAAGTAGGGCAAAATTCAGGTTGATGAAAAGATAACAGTTTTCATTGCCTTTATATGAACATCTCTCCCCCCTCCCCACATATTTTATGTTTCATGTTTTTCTGATCCTTCAAAATCATTTAGCAAGGAAGGGATAATGGTAGATGGTATATAATTTTAGCCTGTCCCTTTCTGAAGGTAATTTTTTTAAAAAGCAAAGCAGGAATCTACATGCATTGAGGATACCCATACACTTTGCATGAGAAGCACATTTAATTCTGAAAGACACCAAGAACAGCTACAGAGGCCCCAACTTACTTTTAGGTCTTTCCAGCCATCCAGAAGCTTGGTAGCCAAATCGCTTACATCCACTATCTTATCCGTCTGTTCTTGACTCCTCTCGCTCTCCACATCTGACAAGCCTTCCTCTTCATCTTGAGAAGGTGTTTCCACAGCAACAGATTCTTCCAGCTTTGTGGTGATGCTCTCCTTCACCTCTGCCTCAGGCTCAACCTCTTGCTCTGCTGCCTGAGACTTGTTGTTGTCTACAGAGGCCTCAATGGCTGCATCCTTGGCAGGCTCTTGGTGCACTGGTTGTTCATCCACTGTTTCTGGTGGGACAGTCTCTGGATGTTCCAGGTACTCTTTGCTTTCCTTCAGCTCAATCTCACTGATGGTGTCAGAGATGGCGCTGTCCATGCTGTTTTCACTTATGATTTTGAGCCTCCGCAAAGCAAGCTTCTTAGGAGTGTCCATGTCACCCTCTACATTAGGTTTAGCAGAAGGATCTGGAGTATTGAGGGGAGTATGAGCCCGCGATGTGTTCTCGCTAGAATAACCATCTCCTTCACTGAGCTGTGGAATAGCCGACTTGGTCTGGGCCCAGCGCTGGATTATCGGAAGCACTTTGCTCTCCTCTAACATGTTTTTGTTGGGAATAGGCAAGAGCTCCAACGTTTTTATAATCTAATCACAAAAGATAACATGGCACCTGTTACCTTTCAATAAGTGTTTATTATAACCTACAATACCTTGTCCAGAAAAGTCAGGCCCTACAACATTTGTAATCAATGTACGTTCAAATGACAGCTAGATGATCATTAGCAAATTGCAAAATCAAATGCTCCCTGTTTCCTGCACGCTGTGCCCAGCTTTTCATTTATTTATTTTATTAAAATATTTATATTCCACACTGTATCTGCAAATCTCAGGGAGACATATAATAAAATCAATTAGAGACTATAAATACAGTAACAATAATTGTGGAAAACTATTAAATCATTTATCACTTAAAACCAGACAATTTAAAACCAGTTAAATGATTTAATACTGGCCATAATGCATGTGCTAATTGGACACAACAAATCTGATTGCGGAGGCTTGCAGATGGTCACACCCCATATTAGTCAATGGCAGTAATATGCATACTGACACACTGGCATTTCCGTGTACTGTACACCATTGAATAATAAGGGGCATGGCAATCAAATCCACAGATCACCAGTCCACTAATATGAAGGGTCCACTGTACTTAGGCCTCAAGCCATTTAGGGCTGTAAATGTTATCACCAGCACCTTGAATTCAGACCAGAAGTGTATTGGCAGCCAATGCAATGTCTTTACTACAGGTATTATATGGTTTTCTGAATGGTTTTCCATTCAGCAGCTTAGCTGCCGCATTTTGCACTAGCTGCAGTTACTGAGTCATCTTCAATGGCAGCCCCACATAGTGTTCATTGCAGTAATCTAACTGGAAAGTTACCAGTGCATGGACTGCTGTGGTTATATTATCCTGGCTGTACTTGGCAGACCAGCTGAAGCTAGCCCCAAACATGCACAGCCATGGGGTCCCCCTGGGTTTCCAATCACATAGAGAGATCTAAGAGCACTCCCAAGCTATGCCATTACTCCTTCAGGGAGAGTGAAATCCCATCCAGGGCAGGTAGCTGAAATCATCCACAGAATGTCCACCGTATCAGGATTCAACTTCAGTTTACTGGCCCTCATCCAGTCTATTAAAGCATCCAGACACTGTTCCAGCATCTGCACATCCCTACCTGACTCCAAAGATGGAGAGAAATAGACCTGAGTGTCATTAGTTGCCTATATCATTAGTTAAACTACGAAGGCAAATGCTGGTTAAAGTTTAACAAAACGTAAAGGGGAAGAGAGGTTTAAAAGTGTAGGGAAGGACAAGGATATGCATCATAACAGAGCCTCTTCATCCCAAAATCGAAGCGCTTAACTTTAGGTATGTTCTCTGCTTTTGAAAGTTTGTACACATTGCCAAAGCCACATGGTAGTCTTCTCAAGGTAACCACTGACCTCTAGCTGGAGCTTCAGGTTGTTGGCTGTGTTCCCCCTGCCATCCCCAAGCTCTGCCATCCAAATCCAGAGAAGGGATAAGCCATGACATTCCAAGAAGGACTTCAGGCAGGCTTGAGAATGAGTATTCTTTAAAAAGAAAGAGTGTGTGTGAAAGTGTGTGAAGTGACCAAAAGACCATGCAACTGTTTCTCCAGGCACCCACCCTGCGAACTTTCAAAACCCATATTATACATTTTACTATTTTATTAAAAAAGCAGCACACAAACTAAGATTGAGCTTCAAATAAAGCTACATATTTACCATAGTCAGGCAGCAACACCGGATTTGTTTATTTTTAAACCACCAAGCAAAAAACAAGTCTTTGGTTTATAGAGCTGTAAGTTATGACACAGAGGAACTGATACTGAAATGTCAATGTACAACTCCAGCTAAGTTCTTCTGCCACTCCTCTGTAAGAAGGAAGTATAGTTGCCCCTCCATTTTTGCCAACTTCGAGTCTGCATCCTTTGCTTGGTTGTGGGGGAGGGAACAGAGGGGATTAAAATGGGGCGCACACCCATGGGTGCCCGTGAACATACACTGCCATTCAAGCCAATGGGGCTTGAATAATGACGCTTTTCCATTTGTGTGTGTATTTGGGGGGGGGGGTCTGTACTATATAAAGATAGAAGCACAATTATCAGTAGGATGAGGGAAACTAGCCATAGTCCTATTAATTATAAGATGAAAAGGTGATGGCTGTCAAGTTTTCAGACTAATAGTCTTCCAAGAGTGTTCAAAAATATATTGGAAGACTGGATTGCTTCTGAAGATCTATGCCAGGAAATACGACTTGGAGCAAGTATTGCTTCCCTTGAGAAAGAGCCTATATTGAACTTTTCACATCTAAACATATCCCTAATGTAAAGGTACAGTGGATTCACTTCTTTGTTCATTTCTTGACACGAACAGGAGGCTGCACAAACACTTATTTTCAGTGCACTCCAGAAGCTATTTCAAAGCTGTTCATCAGCCCCTCAAGTTTCCTACTGGCTCTCCATCTCTAGTGAGTTACACAGTGATGTAAATCTTTTACAAAAGCCTATTTCCTGTTTTCTTCTCCTTAAACCTCCCAACTCCAAAATTAAAATGAAACATTTAATTTACTTTCATTTTCTAATTTGGATTTAACATCTGTTCCAAACAGCCTGAAGGAGTAGGGGTCATTTTACCTGGATGAGTTTGAGACAGGTAAGTTTTTGCTCCAGAGTTTCAATGCGCACCATCAGCCGGGACAAACTAAGAACTTGATTCTTATCTGAAAGCCCTTCTCCGTTCTCCAGGAGTGTCTCCAATTCTCCATCCACCTATCAAAAG